AGTTTGAGTGAATGGATAGCAGAACAAGGACAAAGAAGGAAGGTAAAGGGTCAAAAGTTACTTAGAGCAACAAGAAAGAGGGCATGGAGAATTTAACACTCACAGGACATATTGAAGGCAAAAAGAAGCAGAGGGAAACAGCGAGTAACCTACTTAACGAGTTTGAGTGAATGGATAGCAGAACAAGGACAAAGAAGGAAGGTAAAGGGTCAAAAGTTACTTAGAGCAACAAGAAAGAGGGCATGGAGAATTTAACACTCACAGGACATATTGAAGGCAAAAGAAGCAGAGGGAAACAGCGAGTAACCTACTTAATGAGTTTGAGTGAATGGATAGCAGAACAAGGACAAAGAAGGAAGGTAAAGGGTCAAACTTTACTTAGAGCAACAAGAAAGAGGGCATGGAGAATTTAACACTCACAGGACATATTGAAGGCAAGAGAAGCAGAGGGAAACAGCGAGTAACCTACTTAATGAGTTTGAGTGAATGGATAGCAGAACAAGGACAAAGAAGGAAGGTAAAGGGTCAAACTTTACTTAGAGCAACAAGAAAGAGGGCATGGAGAATTTAACACTCACAGGACATATTGAAGGCAAAAGAAGCAGAGGGAAAAACAGCGAGTAACCTACTTAACGAGTTTGAGTGAATGGATAGCAGAACAAGGACAAAGAAGGAAGGTAAAGGGTCAAAAAGTTACTTAGAGCAACAAGAAAGAGGGCATGGAGAATTTAACACTCACAGGACATATTGAAGGCAAAAGAAGCAGAGGGAAACAGCGAGTAACCTACTTAATGAGTTTGAGTGAATGGATAGCAGAACAAGGACAAAAGGAAGGAAGGGTCAAAAGGTCAAGAAAAAACTTTCACAGGACACATTAGAGCAACAAACAAGGACAAGAAGGAATGGAGAATTTAGAGCAACAAGAAAACACTCACAGGACATATTGAAGGCAAAAGAAGCAGAGGGAAAAAAGCGAGTAACCTACTTAATGAGTTTGAGTGAATGGATAGCAGAACAAGGACAAAGAAGGAAGGTAAAGGGTCAAACTTTACTTAGAGCAACAAGAAAGAGGGCATGGAGAATTTAACACTCACAGGACATATTGAAGGCAAAAGAAGCAGAGGGAAACAGCGAGTAACCTACTTAACGAGTTTGAGTGAATGGATAGCAGAACAAGGACAAAGAAGGAAGGTAAAGGGTCAAACTTTACTTAGAGCAACAAGAAAGAGGGCATGGAGAATTTAACACTCACAGGACATATTGAAGGCAAAAGAAGCAGAGGGAAACAGCGAGTAACCTACTTAATGAGTTTGAGTGAATGGATAGCAGAACAAGGACAAAGAAGGAAGGTAAAGGGTCAAAAGTTACTTAGAGCAACAAGAAAGAGGGCATGGAGAATTTAACACTCACAGGATATATTGAAGGCAAGAGAAGCAGAGGGAAAAGCGAGTAACCTACTTAACGAGTTTGAGTGAATGGATAGCAGAACAAGGACAAAGAAGGAAGGGAAAAGGGTCAAAACTTACTTAGAGCAACAAGAAAAGGGCATGGAGAATTTAACACTCACACAGGACATATTGAAGGCAAAAGAAGCAGAGGAAAAAGCAGAGTAACCTACTTAATGAGTTTGAGTGAATGGATAGCAGAACAAGGACAAAGAAGGAAGGTAAAGGGTCAAAACTTTACTTAGAGCAACAAGAAAGAGGGCATGGAGAATTTAACACTCACAGGACATATTGAAGGCAAAAGAAGCAGAGGCAAGTAAAGAGTTTGAGTGAATGGATAGCAGAACAAGGACAAAGAAGGAAGGTAAAGCAACAAGAAAGAGGGCATGAGAATTTAACACTCACAGGACATATTGAAGGCAAGAGAAACCTACTTAACGAGTTTGAGTGAATGGATAGCAGAACAAGGACAAAAAGAAGGAAGGTGAAGGCAAAAGAAAAGGGTCAAACTTTACTTAGAGCAACAAGAAAGAGGGCATGGAGAATTTAACACTCACAGGACATATTGAAGGCAAAAGAAGCAGAGGGAAACAGCGAGTAACCTACTTAACGAGTTTGAGTGAATGGATAGCAGAACAAGGACAAAGAAGGAAGGTAAAGGGTCAAACTTTACTTAGAGCAACAAGAAAGAGGGCATGGAGAATTTAACACTACAGGACATATTGAAGGCAAAAGAAGCAGAGGGAAGTAACCTGAGAATTTAATGAGAGGAATGGATAGAGAACAAGGACAAAGAAGGAAGGTAAAAGGGTCAAAAGTTACTTAGAGCAACGAGAAAGAGGGCATGGAGAATTTAACACACCACAGGACATATTGAAGGCAAAAGAAGCAGAGGGAAAAAAAGAGTTTAACGAGTTTGAATGGATAGCAGAACAAGGACAAAGAAGGAAGGTAAAGGGTCAAACTTTACTTAGAGCAACGAGAAAGAATGGAGAATTTAACACTCACAGGACATATTGAAGGCAAAAGAAGCAGAGAGGAAAAAGCGAGTAACCTACTTAACGAGTTTGAGTGAATGGATAGCAGAACAAGGACAAAGAAGGAACAAAAGTTACTTAGAGCAACAAGAAAAGAGGGCATGAGAATTAACACCACAGGACATATTGAAGGCAAAAGAAGCAGAGGGAAACACTTAACGAGTTTGAGAATGGATTAAGGTCAAAAGTTACTTAGAGCAACAAGAAAGGGGGAATTTAGGGCATGGACAGGACATATTGAAGGCAAAAAGAAGCAGAGGGAAACAGGAGTAACCCACTTAACGAGTTTGAGTGAATGGATAGCAGAACAAGGAACAAAGAAGGTAAAGGACAAGAAACGAGAAAGAGGGCATGGAGAATTTAACACCACAGGACATATTGAAGGCAAAAGAAGCAGAGGGAAACAGAAACTTTAACGAGTTTGAGGAATGGATAGCAGAACAAGGACAAAGAAGGAAGGTAAACAGAGCAAAAGAAAGAGGCATGGAGAATTTAACACTCACAGGACATATTGAAGGCAAAAGAAGCAGAGGGAAACAGCGAGTAACCTACTTAACGAGTTTGAGTGAATGGATAGCAGAACAAGGACAAAGAAGGAAGGTAAAGGGTCAAACTTTACTTAGAGCAACAAGAAAGAGGGCATGGAGAATTTAACACTCACAGGACATATTGAAGGCAAAAGAAGCAGAGGGAAAAGCGAGTAACCTACTTAACGAGTTTGAGGAATGGATAGCAGAACAAAGACAAAGAAGGAAGGTAAGGGTCAAAAAGTTACTTAGAGCAACAAGAAAGAGGGCATGGAGAATTTAACACTCACAGGACATATTGAAGGCAAAAGAAGCAGAGAAAAAAAAGCGAGTAACCTACTTAACGAGTTTTGAATGGATAGCAGAACAAGGACAAAGAAGAAGGTCAAAAAGGGTCAAAAACTTAGCAGCAACAAGAAAGAGGGCATGGAGAATTTAACACCACAGGACATATTGAAGGCAAAAAGAAGCAGAGGGAAACAGCGAGTAACCTACTTAATGAGTTTGAGTGAATGGATAGCAGAACAAGGACAAAGAAGGAAGGTAAAGGGTCAAAAACTTACTTAGAGCAACAAGAAAGAGGGCATGGAGAATTTAACACTCACAGGACATATTGAAGGCAAAAGAAGCAGAGGGAAACAAGGACGAGTAACCTACTTAACGAGTTTGAGTGAATGGATAGCAGAACAAGGACAAAGAAGGAAGGTAAAGGTCAAAGAAAAGTTACTTAGAGCAACAAGAAAGAGGGCATGGAGAATTTAACACTCACAGGACATATTGAAGGCAAGAGAAGCAGAGGGAAACAGCGAGTAACCTACTTAACGAGTTTGAGTGAATGGATAGTAGAACAAGGACAAAGAAGGAAGGTAAAGGGTCAAAAGTTACTTAGAGCAACAAGAAAGAGGGCATGGAGAATTTAACACTCACAGGACATATTGAAGGCAAAAGAAGCAGAGGGAAACAGCGAGTAACCTACTTAATGAGTTTGAGTGAATGGATAGCAGAACAAGGACAAAAGAAGGAAGGTCAAAAGGGTCAAAAGTTACTTAGAGCAACAAGAAAGAGGGCATGGAGAATTTAACACTCACAGGACATATTGAAGGCAAGAGAAGCAGAGGGAAACAGCGAGTAACCTACTTAACGAGTTTGAGTGAATGGATAGCAGAACAAGGACAAAGAAGGAAGGTAAAGGGTCAAACTTTACTTAGAGCAACAAGAAAGAGGGCATGGAGAATTTAACACTCACAGGACATATTGAAGGCAAAAGAAGCAGAGGGGAAACAGCGAGTAACCTACTTAATGAGTTTGAGTGAATGGATAGCAGAACAAGGACAAAGAAGGAAGGTAAAGGGTCAAAAGTTACTTAGAGCAACAAGAAAGAGGGCATGGAGAATTTAACACTCACAGGACATATTTGAAAGGCAAGAGAAGCAAAAAGAAGCAGAGGGAAACAGCGAGTAACCCACTTAACGAGTTTGAGAATGAATGGATAGCAGAACAAGGACAAAGAAGTAAAGGGTCAAACTTTTACTTAGAGCAACGAAAGAGGGCATGGAGAATTTAACACCACAGGACATATTGAAGGCAAAAGAAGCAGAGGGAAACAGCGAGTAACCTACTTAATGAGTTTGAGGAATGGATAGCAGAACAAGGACAAAGAAGGAAGGTAAAGGGTCAAAAGTTACTTAGAGCAACAAGAAAGAGGGCATGGAGAATTTAACACTCACAGGACATATTGAAGGCAAGAGAAGCAGAGGGAAACAGTGAGTAACCTACTTAACGAGTTTGAGTGAATGGATAGCAGAACAAGGACAAAAAAGGGAGGTAAAGGGTCAAAACTTTACTTAGAGCAACAAGAAAGAGGGCATGGAGAATTTAACACTCACAGGACATGAAGGCAAGAGAAGCAGAGGGAGAATTTAACGACTCACAGGACATATTGAAGGCAAGAGAAGCAGAGGGGAAACAGCAAGTAACCTATCAAATTAGGAATGGTGTAAATAGATGGCAGAAAGGGAATTATAGTTATAAGCAAAATACAGACTTTGCTCCAAAAAAAAGTAATAAAAGCATAGGGGAAGTTCTTCAAATTCTTCTTCGGGAATTTAGTTTCTTCTTCTTCTTAAAGAAGGAAGTTCTTCTTCTTCTTCTTCTTCTTCTTCTTCTTCTTCTTCTTCTTCTTCTTCTTCTTCTTCTCATAACTATTCCAATTATCCCTCTCTCTCTCACATTCATACTATATCTCTCTTGTACATTTGCTTCAACATACTCTCTTCTTTCTTTTTTTTTATTCATTTCTTTCTCTCTTTCTCTCTCCTATTCATATTTCTCTACTTCTTTCTTTCTTCCCCCTTTCCTGTTTCCCACTTTCTCTTTCTCTCTCTCCCTCCATTTCATTTTCTGTATTCCTCTGTTCTCCTCTATTTATCCTTCTTTCTATTTCCTACTTTAAAATACAACCCATACTCCTCTTCTTCTCTTACTCCTCTCTCTTTTTACCACACTCTCTCACCTATAGCTGTTTCTCTCCTTCTTTCTTGCTTTTTCCCTCTTTTATATTCCCCTCTCTCTCTCTCTCTCTCTCTCTCTCCCGTTCACTTTCTATCAGTTTTTGTTCTAGTCTATTTATCTTTTTTTCTCTTTCTAATTCCTACTTTACAATACAACCCATACTCGTCTTCTCTTAATCTTCTCTTTCTATCTTTGTCTCACTAATATCTCTGACTCTCCCTTTTATTCTTACTCTCTCTCTTACTCTCCTCTCTTTCTAATTTAAACTCTCCTTTTGAAATTCCTCATTCTTTGTCCTGCCAAGAGGCTTAACGAAATTGCTTCATAATTGCCTCTGCAATTGATTCACGCTCTCAATATTTTTACTGACACAAAATTGCCGAAAGCTAATAAAGGTCATTTTCAAATTCATTCTTTTTTCATTTTCTTTTTCTTTATGCTGTTTATCTTTCCTTTGATTCCTTCATTCTTTATTCTTCTCAATTTTGAATTTTTTGGCTTTTTCCCTTGTTTTATATTATCTACTTTTTTTCTTTCTCTTCATCTTCCCGCCATCTTTATTTCTTTTTTTTTTTCTACTCACAGAAGATTCGAAAAAAAAAGAATCTCTTCCCAAACAAATCTGTAATAATCAACCGATGTTGGTAAAATTTTCAAGGCCTACTTATATTCATAAAATAAACGCGTTATATAAATTTCACTTTATATCATACGATTTTATAAGATATAGATTATCTGTACAATTTTCAAAATTCTTAGAAAAGCATAAAATAAGTTTACAGGGTTTATTGAAAAACCTAAGTAAACAAATACTGGTATAATAGAAGTAGTCTGTATTTATTCAAGCGAAGTTAGCCGAGGACATGAAGGGGTAAAACAGGCAACATGAAGACCCACTTCAGACCACAATTATTTTGGAGATTTTGAAATTCAATTTGTCAGTGTGCTACCAGGGATGTAAAAGAGAATACATTTATAAAGCAATTGTTAAGTTTGATGAAAATTGGTTGAAAGATCAACGAAAAATAAGAAAGAAACGAATAAAATCGCCATTTTTCGCTATTTACGCGAGTTTTCACGGTATGGGTGGACTCAATTATCAAGTTAAATGACTGCTAAACAATCGACTTATTGTTGGCTACAAATGAGTGAAGTTTGTATTAGATTGTTTGAAAATTGAGGAAGTTTTAGTTTAAAATTTGTGTTGAAATCGATTTGTGTTGAAATCGATTTTTCGTTTTTCGCGGTTTTCTAAAAGGTCTTATGCCAGACATGGATGCTAACACGACTTTGTTTTGTATACTTTTTTCTGTAATTCTGATGAATCAGAGTGTCATATTTGGTCTCTATGTACCATGATACAAATTGAAATTTCTCTGACGGTGATAGCATTTTCATTAAAACACCGGGATCAAGCACTCTTAAAATATATATATATATATATATATATATATATATATATATATATATATATATAAAAGAAGTACTTTTAAAATATACACATTCTGGTATCTGGATATAGAATCCGAAGAAAAGATTGAAAAAATCGGCAGTGTGGAAAACGTTTGTACTGACTACGCGTTTCGTCAGATAGGCGTCTTCGATGCAAAATGAAAGAAATATGGTATATTTGTTTTCATATTAAAAATTTGATATTTGCTATTTCTTATTCAAACATACACCATACACACCTATTTCTTTCATTCTAACCCGAAAAAGTCTATCTAAGGAAGGCGAAACACGTAGTCAATAAAACAGTTTGATTTACTGTCTCTCTTTCTCTCTCTCTCTCTCTCTCTCTCTATATATATATATATATATATATATATATATATATATAGTCTTAAGGTGTGCTATATTTATGGGATAAAGTGCTCAATATCAGAGATAGAGCATGTGTAAATATAAATATATATATATATATATATATATATATATGTACACACACACATATATATTTAGAATATATATATATATATATATATATATATATAAGAATATATATATAAGAATATATATATAAGAATATATATATATAAGAATATATCTATAAGTATATAATATATATATATATATATATATATATATATATACATACATAAGAATATATATATATATATGGATATATATATATATAGAGAATATATATATATATATATATACATAAGATATATATAAGAATAATATATATATATATATATATATATATATATATATATATATATATATATATATATATATATATATATATATATAAGAATAATAAATATACATTTTTAATTTCTAGATTCTGAAATTTATGCCGAAGACAATCTTCAGGTGCTGATTGCAAACTAAGCGTTACATAATTTAAATTTCGATATAGTGGGTACCGGCTTGGACTGAGGAATTGGCGAGCCGCGTTCGAATTCCAGTCGAATCCATTACATTCACTTACGTTCTAATACACTTGGGAAAAGTATGAATCCTCTTCTCCATCCATCTATGGGTAAATAGCAGGACAGACTGGGTTCTATAGCCTTGGATGGCAACTTGTCTAGGAGAAGGACAGCACTGAATTCAAAAGCTGTGCAGGGTCGTTTCGGGACCTTGTGGCACGTAGTGCACCAGGTCTCTGTATTCGGCCTTTCAAAAAGTGTGATTTGTTCTGCACAACGCTGTCACCACTATAATCAAATCACATGTGCTGATGTCTGGCTGTTGCTTAGTAGCAATTTGTGAATAGGACAATAAACAGTTTATAACTGTCCCAACAATGTAAATCAATACAGTCAGTAACAATCAATAACATGGTAACAAAGATGAGGACAACAGTCTGTACAATATAAATAATGTAAATAATTACAATACCTCATATCCGAAATATTGACAGATCCTGAAGAAGGCCGGAGCATACAACGACCGAAACGTTTTGGATAAGACAACAAAGATGGGGACAATAGTCCGAATGATATAAAAAATGTAAATAATTACAATACCTCATCTCAGAAATATAGACATATCCTGAAGAAGACCGGAGCGTACAACGACCAAAACGTCTTGGATCGGACAACAAAGATGAGGACAAAGTCCGAACAATATATATAATGTAAATAATTACAATACTTCATCTCCGAAATATAAACAGATCCTGAAGAAGACAGGAACATACAACGACCGTAACGTATTGGATCGGACAACAAAGATGAGGACAACAGTCCGAACAATATAAATAATGTAAATAATTACAATACCTCATCTCCGAAATATTGACAGATCCTGAAGAAGGCCGGAGCGTACAACGACCAAAACGCTTGGATCGGACAACAAAGATGAGGACAACAGTCCGAACAATATAAATAATGTAAATAATTCAAATACCTCATCTCCGAAATATTGACAGATCCTGAAGAAGGCCGGAGCGTACAACGACCAAAACGCTTGGATCGGACAACAAAGATGAGGACAACAGTCCGAACAATATAAATAATGTAAATAATTCAAATACCTCATCTCCGAAATATTGACAGATAATGTCAATTGCTAGCTACTGTATTCCTCCTTACTCTTTCCTCTTCCCGCTCATTATTAATTTTTGTGTTCCTAATTATTCTACACCCTATAACCCCTTGTGTTTTACTGACTTTACTTCATAACATGGGGTGATACCTATTATGAAAGAATTTGGTGATTATGCTTCTTAGATAAAATTTTTTAAACCAATGTTTTCAAAAACCGTGAGCGTACGCGCTGACACGTTTCTTGGGGGGGAATTAATATCTTAGAATGAATCCAAAGGACTGTGAGGGTGAAATTCTTTGATATTGCTTTTGGCAAGTTCTTTATTGCAAAGTGTTGATTTGAAATTCAAGAAGGTGTTTTTCAGGCGGCGTGATAAGCGATCTCCAGAAAAGTCACCTGCTCCATTTGTTGGAAATCACCTACCTGTTATATGATATTTAGCAAATGCTGATCGTCTAAATATGGTAGAAGACCATCAAGACATTCAATAAAACTCGGCTCCTTTATTATACTTTCCACGCACATAATGATCACTCTATGCGCATGTCCTTTGACATGGCCTATATGAACCTAAATACAATGAGAGTAGTACCTTTTCGAAAAAGAAGAAATGTCAGGTACGAATTTGCTCTAAAGAAATTAGGAGATAAATTATATGACTACTATATGGGAGACATTCATAAGGAAACAAAGTTTGACAACAAGGTTTCAACAGGAGGTAGAAAAAATAAGCGGCGGCGAAAGGCTTCATGCTTCACAGCAAGGATTCAATAGCAGTAACAGAGACATTAGTTTTAAGGTTCCATGCTCTCACCAAGAGTTTTCAGCGTAACGAGATACGAGATGTTTCAAGCCTTATTTCAAGAATTTGCTGGCATAATATTAATGATTTCAATCCCTGGATCATCGAGTTAAGCTCAGCCTGGGTGGAATATATAAAAGTGGACATTGAAGTCAACACCAGTCGTCGACAGTCTGTTTAAAGTTGGCTCCCTGTGCCGCGCCAGGAAATTTTTCTCCCCGGAATCGATACTTCAAATATACAAATCAACCATTCGCCCTTGCATGAAGTATTGCTGCCATATATGGTCTGGTGCACCTTCTGTTTACCTCGGACTTCTTGACAGGATCCAGAGGCGGATATGTAATATAATTGGCCCTGATCTGGCATCTCGTCTACAGTTGCTCTCTCACAGACGCGCCGTCGCCTCTCTCTGTCTTTTCTACAAATACTTTCATGGCAATTGCTCCGATGAGCTGCTTTCACTGGTTCCTAGACTTCACGAATTCAAGCGCCCTACGAGGCTGGCATCACGCTCTTACCCTTTCACTGTAGAAACTACTAAATGTAGCCGTCTCTTCTACTCCAATAGCTTCATGTCTCGCACCTCTCGCCTGTGGAACACCTTTCCCAATTACTGTTTCCCTGAGAGCTCTAATCTCCAACTATTCAAATGTAATGTCAATCGACATCTCCTGTTACCTTGATCTATCCACTATCCTTCTCCTCATCCTTTCTTCTATCACTCCTATCTGCTCTCGCTCCAAATCTTCTGCAAACCCCTGCTTCCTAGTGGCTTCCCGCCTTGCTAGGG